AACCGGGTCAAGCACTATCGAGTTTTACTTTACCCCTCTTTCTTCAGGTTTGAAATTTTGGAGGACTTTTGGGAGGGGTCTTTTCCCTGTGCTCGTCTGCGTCTAGAAGTTCTGAACCTGAGTGCCAGCTTCTGGCAATTAGGACGTTTTCAAGATCTCCTCTAGAATCTTACCTGGTTTACTGGTGATTCCTCTAGGTCTGGTATATTTTAATAATTCTAAACTTGAGGGTCCGGCTTGAGGAGAGGGTCAGCTTTTGAGCTAATAGCCCACATTATTTCAATCGTGAATTCTGCACCTCTACAAAGATGTCTGCAGTCCCAAAACTTTTACTAGTTCAGCATAAATCCAGATCTGCAGTTCAAAGGCGTTTAAGCCGTGAAGCCATAAAACCCCACATTTCCTAAGTCATATATTTGAAAAACCGGTTTTTTTCGTCGGCCATCTTTAGGAGCTTATTTCGGTCACATGAGTGCAACACCGACAAAACTTGTTCAACAATGTCCGTGGTGGGATTAGACGGCCGGGCGACAATGTCCTTGGTGGGACCACTAAGAGCATCCGGATACGGCGCAATGAGCCGTATCCATCACTATTTGTATAGGGTTTCGATTTCACATCGTCGCGGCTATCGCCGTTGTCGTCGATATGAGACTGACCACATAACAAAAGTGGAAGCGCGATGCGACGGGACAACCATACGCGAGAGCCGGTCCGTTGGCATGAGCCGGCCAGATTATGATGAGCTTTATCTCGTCGCATCGCGTGCGTGAGTCCGGTACAGCGGATCAACTGTTCATAAATGCATAGCAGGACAATCCGGAGGACGATAGGATTACGAGCGTTTGATGAAGTTGTGGGGAACACAAGACTTAGATGATATAGCCCGTGGTCAGCGCCATAAATGCGAAAGTCGAATCGGTTTAGCTCCAGCCCCAATTTATGGCTAAAGAATAGTTTATGCCGGTCGTTAAATTTGCGCTGGCAATCTCCTTATATGGGCCGTTATGGTCACTAACATTAGGATTGTATGGGCTCAGTAATGAAACGCGCCTTCATCAAAGGCCAACCTGCTTGGAACGAGGTTTGTTATGTCGTTCTTCCATCCCATCGGCGAAACAATTCTAAACCTTAGTCATTTCTGAAACCAATAACACTTATATTGGAAACCGCATATAAGATCCTGCACCAGGTTTATCCAGACTGAGCTGTCGCACTGTCTCTTTTGGGTGGGGATAGCATGTGGTGAAAAGGGTCGTTTTCCAAAAGGAAATATTTTGTCAGAAGATTCATGACATTTAGAGACTCTCTGAATATACTAATCATTCCTGAATTCCGCCCTTTCAACAGTTGGATACAGCCCCGCCAAAAATTGGTTGGGGGTGGGGCAAGATGTGTGTCAGAGTGAACCGAGTTCAGCGATCGGCACAATCATCCACTAACCATCAGAGGGGTAGAGGCCGGGGCAGGGGAGGAAAAGGTTGGGTCGTATATCTTAAATCGGCCACAGGCTTTGCTTGAACTAACACTAAATTGAGAAAGGAGCGTGAATCTGAAACAAGAAGGAGGCTCAATTAGTGACATCTTATCCCTGGGCTCACTTCAAAATATTATATAATAATCGAATTGACTAATAAATGATAAAATGGATCGTAAGATTCTATCCGAGATACGCCACGCACTCGCTCTTCATTCCAAGTCGCAGAGGTGTTTGAATGGGTGTTTGGCCCCTGCTACGCGAGCTGGATACCGTACTCAGACCCTGAATCATTCGCGAATTACTCCCAATGGAATTCTGTTGCCAGATTATCCCATTAAAATAGATCGGTGACCATGTTATCGCAGCAATGCCTCTACGCTACCTCTTGGTCTTTCAGAAAAAAGAATTACCCCAGGAGCTTACGCAAGCAAAGTAAAATGAACCTTAGAAATTGTCTCAAGTTGTCTGTTTTACTTCAGGATCCTACAACGTGCTATTCATGGACTGTTGCGAGCAGCGCGGTTTGCCAGACGCATGCCCGCCACTGCACGTATACACACCTTTCAGAATGCGACTCGGTATAAGCGGCCGAGCTATTTATCAGTGCCTCCAAAAATCGATCACAAAACTTCTGAAAGGATAAGATCCCAAAATAACAAATTACCTTCTTCGAAACTATGAGAAATTCGACTTGTAGAAACTCCTGAGATGCTTCTTTTCAGTTGATTCGCATGTACTTCAAGCAGGACGCCTGCCCTATCCATGCTACAGCCGAGATTCAGTTCTGCGCCGCGCAAGGACGAGATCATCGTGCATGCTGTCAAAGAAACGGGGTCACAACGACCCTGGCCGGAGCTAAGGTATTCTTCAATGTTCTTTGTACTCCTCAGAAGGTCAAATATGAGCATAAAGATCATGTGCTGAATCAAGAGACTCTTAGCTTAAACGCTAGTGGTAAGCTGACAAGACTTTAGGTGAGTGTTGCCACCATGCAGCACGTTGAAGCTTGCAAATATGGCTTGAAAACGCATTTTAATTCTAACAAAGTTAACGCAAAGTGTCTGTTACCATCCACCAAATATGAGAACATGTGCCAAGCTCTTGAGGAATGATGAGTTCTAGAACATCGGAAGAATAGAACTACGAACCACGTTTGAGAAAGCGTCGCCTTTAGCCGCTGCGCCCTTCCACCACCTCTGTAATTCAATTTTTTCAGTGCTTGACGTTCTGCGATCAACGACCAGGCAATGTCACAATGCTCGACATGTCGTATGTGCCATGCTACGAACGTTTCGAGAACATGAAGGCGTGCTTCTGGCACGACACTGTCAACAGGCTCAAGAAATAAGGCTTAATAGGCATACCCTATACCCTTGAGACTAGAAACCACACAAATGTAATTTCTATAAGTAGCATGAGCTACCACGCGACGTCGCACATACTTCGTCGTACGGCGTGTGCGGCAATTGTTTTGAGCAACACTACCTTCGCAATCTTCCCCTCACCAAAAAACGAGCTATCTCGCCGTGTCTGCCTCTTCGCCAGTTCTCTCATTGCCTGAGCGGACACCCCGTATAATGGTGAATTCAGCTACGACCAAATTCGCGCGACCGTCGCGTGCTGACCTATTGTGACGCAACCACTTTCCATAAGCTTTCTAACTGCATGTAGCATACTTTTTGCCTATCAAAATGTACAGCAGCCATTGACATAGTCGTGAAATTAATTGTTCTTTTTTAATTCAACAACAGACCTTTCAAACCGCACGTCAAGCAGCGGGACTATGTAGGGGTAAATTAAGAGGCAGTTGCAGCGCAAAGCGGAATTCCTAAAAAAAAGTGCTACAATGTCCTCGTTTGCGCCCTATTTGCCCCCATTTCCTGACATAAAGGATATCTAATACGTCGTCTAAAATTCACTTGACTCTTGTAAGTGCTGCAAAGATTGCAATAGAACGCGCGGTTGCGAAGCGGTTAATGCAGCAGGTGGAAGTAGGAACATCAGTCGCCCAGCAATCAACGCTTTGTAGATGTCCCACATCTTACCCTAGTGCTTATTCGAGTTATTAGCTCTAAACCCATGCATTGGCGGATAGCCACACTCTATTCCCGCAGCTGCACATGTCGTGATTGCAGACCTGGCCGCAGGTGGCACATGGTGCCAGCAAGAGCATCGAAATGCACTCGCGATATCGATTTTTCCATGACCATCGCCAGATGTATTCTTGAGTCTGCAATTACGACATGCCCGGCCGCGAGAAACGAGGCGTGCGACAACATTACTTGAAGATCACGTACCATACATTTGATTTCACGTCTGTGACATTACAACCACAGTTCCAAATATTTTCCATCACCTAACCAGGTCTCAGCCTTTAAGTCGTCATTGATTTTGTCTGTAAAAATTCTGTGCAAATGCTATTAGCCAAACGACATTTACTTGCAATGTTCTGTTACCACATTTATTGTAACAACAATCCGTATATCACATTTGCTGCATAAATATTTACATACAAAACAAATTTGGAAACAAATCACAATGTATCCACCCGAACCTGACGTTCATTACAAATACAACGAAGATATTTCGTAACGCATGAAAAGAATAATTCTCCAACTACGCGGGGGACAGTCACTTGCTCAGTCGATACCTCCTTTTCTTCATAACAATTTTTTTTTGGAAAATACCTACTTCTGATTCTTTTAGCTACCACTTCATACTTGACAGAACTTCAAGTGGAAAGATGCACCTGTTCGACCCAGTCCCATCGAAAATCACATCCGCTTCACGTAAAGTGCCAGCATTCGCTAAGGACGCTTTCGTACTTTGCGCCGGTGCGGTCCGTGCGGACGCTGCGCACGGTGCGGATGGGGTGCGGATAGAGTGAAGAGCGTCAACACGCGCACTGGCGCATGACGCGTACTTGGCGTGCAATCGGTATCTTCCAATCGATAACCACGATTAAGAAACATTTTTGCCATTTTTAAAATGGTGATAGCGTGCTTTGATCATCGCTATCTTTGTGTATTTTTTTTTGCTCACAACGTTTTTCTCTTTGGAGGAACAAGTGCCTTTGCTCACTGATCGCCTCACCTGGAGCTGACCGCCCTCAGATGCAAGTGCGCTCCGCTACCATCTCAGGGACAACTGAGAAATATTGATTTGGGCAAAAAAGAAGTCTAAACCAAAAAACACGAATGGAAGCGACACGGCACACAAAACATCAGAAAACAAAGAGGAAAACACATTGAGACTGAAATTATCGATCGAAAGTTACCGACTGTACGCCAAAGTATGCGTCGTGCGCCAGTGAGCGTATTGACGCTCTTTACTCTCTCCGCATCGTCCGCGACGAACTGCACTGGCGCAAAGTATGAAAGCAGCCTAGCCAGCCATAGATAGATCTTTTGGCGCTGGTGGCGTTTTTACGCCAACGAATATGATATTCGCATCTGGCTTAGCTACCCCTGCGAGGATTCCTGAATTCGCGGTACCGACAGACAAAATAAAGGAAAAATCCAACTCAGTCCCTTTCAACGTGTAGGATAAGCAGGGGGTTAACACAAGTCAACCTATACCTAGCGAACCAAACTCAACATCATATTCACCTTCCCTCCAGTAGGGTAAGTGACAACTTCCCTACATGATAGTGGTGCCACCGCTTGCTCTTGCGTTTTTACTGTTAGCCGCCTTGAGTAACTCCTCAACATTATGATAATAAGCTACCGTTCTCGTAAGAACCACAAAAGCAATGACAACTCATAGGGTCAACAAAGAAAGAATGAGGAAAACATGACTTTGTAATTTAAGTTAAATAAATGAAACAAACAATCATCTTCAGACAATCCTACATCACGAACACTTGCGCGATGTCATCGTGATCATATGTCTTCTTCAGGAACGAGTCTACTATTCGAATACCCGAAATTGACTGAAAAAATACAATTTCGACTGTGGGCTATCATAAAGACTCGAATCCAAGAAGATTCTCAGTAGCCCATCCGAAAACTAAATAGCATGAGCTGCATGAAAGTGCGCCGTGTAGCTGAGCGCTTTGGACTTTAAGTGTAAGAAACTGCTACACTTTAGCAATGATCTTTTCAATCTTTTCATATAAGCCAATGGCGCTGAAAAGCTCACCTGGAATCCTATAGAAATGGGCAGCATCTCCACGCTAAACGTGACACTACCGTTTGGTGGCACCTGTCCTAACGAAACCCCGCTGATTGAGCAGAACACAAGTGACGTTGACGTGTTTTGAAGTTCAAGTTGCAAATCCAGAGATCGTTCACTAAAACAGCAATTATTTCTTTTCAATTCCAATGTAAACGGAATTAGTCCCATGGCGGTAGGTGGACTATCCCCCCTTGCATTTCTCCGATCGAATGCCACCCAGGCTGACTGAATTCTTTCGAAGCCAACCAGTAGCCTACTTGTCTGAAGGACAAGAATACAGATTAGGCCGCGAACTTGCCTCGTACTCAGAATTCTGGTCTCACAATCAGTTGGTCTCACAACAATCTCAACTTAGAACTTGAAAGAGGCAGCAAATGTAAAATCCCGCTAAGAGGAGTTCGGTCCAATCTAACCAACCCGCGGATAAGAGTTCAATTCGTAGTGATACAAGCTTTTTTTTCTCGAAGCATACTTTGTGCATCACTTCTCAGCACCACAGCGTACCTTATGACGGCTCTTCACTTCACGCCTTAGAACAAAAGAATAGAGAAGTGCAGAAAGGAAGCATTTGCCGGGACTGTTTCCTGTAGCCTATGGTGCCGTAAGTGCAGAACTAGTGATAAATGTGGCAACACTCTCTCTTGCTCCATTTACTCCCTTTGTGCTAGCTGAACTGCCACGTGTCTGATGCCAAGTTCGCTTGATGTAGCATTAAACACATCACACCTCACTGGAAATTTACATCAAGATAAGAATGAGACGCTTAGTATGGGCGAGTGATCACGTAGGCACGTTTCCTACTGTGGCCATGTCGCATGGTGCTTGTCATTTCAAGAGAGCTGTTCTCGTTTCGATCATACGAATAACTGTGAGGTGAGTATAATAGCGGAGGAGCCTTGTGCTTTTGAAAGGTGCTGGGAACTGATATGATATAAGTGCCCGCGACCGTCTATCCAAAATCTATGCTAAGGTGAACGTGTACCTTAGAAATCTGTGAGGACAAAACTCACCAGCAGTTATAGAGCTTGCAGTCTATAGTAAATGGTTTACGGACAGGTACTGTTGCAGGCAAATTTTCCACCGATAGACGAACATCACCAT